TGTGTACGAGCCCTACCAGACCCATGACCCCCGGAGCTGTTCCGAGGCTGAGGAGACGGGTTTCTGCGAACCGCGTAGCGGCGATCTACCCATTCATCCCGCCCGCGGAGCGAAGCATACCACTTGGCACCACGCTGCTACTAGTCAAGCCACATTCGCTAGTGTCCGCAAGCTTGGTCTCGTCTCCAACGGACATGGCCAGGCAGGGATGCGGACTACTTCTCAGATTGCTTATGTCTCGATGGGCAAAGCAAGCAACGGACGGTGTATAGCCTGCAAGTCGCGAGTCTATGATGGAGGAGCCGCATGGCCAGCACTATCGCTGAGGCAATCGCGAGATGAACCAAGGGAAGAAGGAGTCTAAGACCCAGAAAAGACGCGATATTGGTGGCCGATTGTTGGCTCTCTCAACCCCACCATCCCTTGGTACACCGCGTTGGTTCCTCTGGAAGTCGCCGTGGGCGGTGCTTTTTCCTATGCCGAGTCTGTTGATTTGATGCTCTCAGTGGTGCCTCTGTCGAGATGCCTCTAGATGTATAAGACTTGGAGGTTTCCAGGCCCGGTTGTCTGGAGTTGTTCTCATCTCCACACCAGCGCAGTCATCTCCTGCATCTCTTCCCATCGACAAGCTCCAGACATTCACTCTTTGCTCTTTTCGAAGTTCAAGGGTCACCAGTCTTTAAGAGGTTCAGTTACTAACAGCAGTCATGAAGCCTTCCACCTCCGCCGTGTTGGCCACCCTCTTTGGGTTCGGCGCTGCTCAGTGTAACAGGGACAACTGCCTGAGAGGTGAGTGATCCTCCACCTCTACCTCGAACCTAGAGGGCGATCTACAGCAGAAGAACCACATGGACTGACTCACAAACCCACGCGTAGCCATTGCGGCCAGTGCCTTCACCACCCGAAGTGGTACTGCCGACTGCTCTCGGTTCCTGCAGGTGACCGTCTACCCCGGTGCCACGTAAGTGCCTCTTTCACGAGTCTCCATCTCCACTGTCTATCATTCAGACCTAACACTCTCGCAGGACGACCACCACAACCGTGACCGTCCCGACCAGTGGAGTCTTCACCTCCACTGTCACTCTTACCTCCGGCGGCGGCGCCGGACCCGTCGAGACCAGCCTGGTCGTCGAGACCGAGTTGGCCTCCTCCACGGCCACCTCTCTCGTCGGTGTCACCCAGACCACGACCGTCGCTACCGAGGTTGTCATCGTTCCCACCACTATTGTCGTCTCTTCCACTCGGACTCTCACCTTTGGCACCACCGAGATCACTACTGTCGCCACTGAGACCCAGACCATCTTCGAGACCCTCGCCCTCAAGAAGCGCCAGGCCGCCACGACCGCCATCTCCGCAAACACCTTCCCGGCCTACGCCTCGGCTTGCAGCTCCGTCGCCCGCTATGCTTCGGCCTGCTCTTGCCTCGGCGTCACGCCGGATACGGTGACTTCAGCTGTCGCCACCGCCACAGCAACCGTCTCGGTCCCGGCCACGATCTTGTCCACCTCCATCGTGACCGTCACCGTCTCCGGCAGCGGGTCCCCCGGCTCCACGGCTCTCTCGACCACGACGACGACTTCTACTGCCATCACTACCGTACTCGCCACGTCTACGGCCTTGGAGGCGGTCACGGCCACGACCTCCGTCGGCAGCACGTCTACGGAAGTGGTTGAGGAGATTACCTCTGTGACTGGTACTTTCCTTAACAACGCTACCTTCACCACCTTCGTTACCCGCACCACCTCGCTGCCCCCTATTTTCAACACTACTATTACCCTTGGACCTTCGTCCACCACTTCCGAAGCCGAGTCTTCCTCCACTGGTTCCACCATCTTTGACAGCACCAGCACCGAGGCTAGCTCTTCCGCTCCCTCTTCCTCTTTCTTCCCCAACTCTACTATTATCTCTACCATCTCAGAGACTTCTTCCACCTTTACTTCTACTATTTTCCCCAACATCACTTCTACCGGATCCAGCTCGGTCCCCATCGAGTCTTCCATCACCTCGACCTTGTTCCCCAACACCACAATCACCTCCGAGTCGACCACAATCACTTCGAGCTTCGCCTCCACCACCGTGTTCCCCAACACGACCACTTCTTCCGTGGAGAGCGAGTCGAGCACCGTCTTCCCTACCAGCAGCGGCTTGCCCAACACCACAATTACCTCTGGCAGCGAGACCTCAACCGTCTTCCCCTCGACCACGCTCTTCCCGAACTCGACCACTTCCGAGACCGCCTCCGTCTCTCCCACCTTCTTCCCCAACAGCACGACTCTCACCTCCAGCAGCGAGTCCTCTGCCTTCCCTTCGTCGACCCTCTTCCCCAACGTGACTTCCACTGAGTCGTCCACTTTCCCTTCCTCGACTCTGTTCCCCAACACCACGACGGCCACCGTCCCTGAGTCCTCCTCTTCTTCCTTCACTTCTATCTCGAGCTTCTTCCCTAATGTGACTTCTACTGAGTCTTCGACTGCCTTCCCTTCCTCCACTCTCTTCCCCAACGTCACTTCCACCGAGTCCTCTTCGGCCTTCCCCTCTTCCACCCTCTTCCCCAACACCACGACCGTGACCATCTCGGAGTCCTCCACGACTCTCACCTCCACCTCCACCTTCTTCCCTAACATCTCCTCCACCGAGTCGTCTGCCTTCTCCTCCTCTACCGTCGCCCCCAATGCCACCCTGACCGTCATCACCTCGGGTACCGAGACCTCGACCCTGTTCCCCACGTCGACCCTCTTCCCGAACTCGACCGCCATTGAGTCCTCGACCATCACCTCCCTGACTTCCTCCGTCAGTCCTACCTTCTTCCCCAATAGCACCATCTTCACCGATGACCCCACCGTCACGATCAGCATCATCAGCTCGACCTCCACCGAGGCCTCTACCACCACCGATGACGTGAGCTCCTCCTCCACTTCCGCCTCTGAGACTTCTTCATCTGCCACCTCCACCGCAGACGTGTCTTCCTCGACCTCTGCCTCCGCCAGCAGCACCTCCACAGACGTCTCCAGCACCGCCTCTTCCACCTCCGCCTCTGCCTCCAGCAGCAGCAGCACGGAAAGCAGCACTTTCGTCACGAGCACCCTGACCACAACAACCTCCTCCTCAACCTCCTCCTCCGCAACCCCGACTTCAACAGACGTCATCGCCCGCAACCTCTGCCTCAAGGTCTCCACCGGCCCCGTCCCAGACTCCGTCGTCGCCCTCGGCTCAAACCGCTTCTCCATCAAGCCAGCCGGCTCCCAAGCAGCCCTCTTCGACCTGAACCTCTCCACCGGAGAACTCTTCCAGACCAACGGTGAACTCGTCGCCGTCCCGGCCCCCTATGCAGACGACACCCGCCCCGTCAACGGCTTCACCCCTCGCCAGACCCTCGTCCGCAAGCTCGCGCCCTTTGTCTGCGCCACAAACGGCCAGTCTCTCCTCGTCGGCGTCCCCCTCAACTGCACCGCCTCGGGCGACGACGGCGTCAACAAGAACACGTACTCGCGCTTCTTCTACAACCGCAACTCGGCCGACTCGGTCCTCCGCGTCGCTACTGAGGGGCGTACCTTCACCAACAACAACCAGGCTATTACCCTGGCTCCTTTCAACCAGGGCGACTGCTAAGCGTTTTTTTTTTTTTTTTTGGCAGCAGCCTCATGTTTTCACTATACAGCCTTTGCGCTGGTTTTCTTTGCAACAAACGGCCTACAGGCTTGGAATCTCTGTACTTTTACCATGATTGGGCGGATTTGGGAGCCATAATCATGTACTATATACTTTGGACCCGCGTAATGGATAGCTCACTACATACACTCGTTACAAATTGAACACTTTCTTTTCTGATACAATCTTTCGCAAAGATATGCTTGCCTGTGCCATGATATTCCGGGCCAATGGAGTAACTTGATTAGATACCACCAGCATTAACATTCCAACCTCTCAGCAGAGGCACGATTTCAGCTGGAATTGACTATCAAGAAGGTGAAGTTCAAGATTAAAGGATTTGCAAAGAGAGTAAAACTCTCTTGAGCTTTAATGCAATTTTCCTGTTCCAATGCTATGGCAATCGGACGGGGTTGATGTTAATCATCATTGGAGTTCCCTATGTTGGTATTAACTGTGAATCTGACCGAACGAAACCACTTTCGCTTTGAAACATTCACGTTGAACCATCTACGACATTGCAAGAACACCTTTTAGTAAGCGGGATACGTGGAGACATACAGTGGCGGAAGTTGGACCGCCAAGAATCTTCCAATGGGCCGGCATGAATCCTGTTTCTTGACAATGATCGACTTTGCGTTCCGGCCCTTCCGACTCCTAGGGGTTCAAGGGTATTGGCATTAGTTCTCTCATTTTTCAATCATCATAACATTGCAGACCACATGGTGTGTTCGCCTTGCTTTCAATCATCCTGTTCCATCACCCAAAGCAGCTCTATCAGCCCAGGGCTAGGCACGAGTGTCTGTCTGTCGTTGCGGCTCACGTGCTGCTGTTCGGCAAATTTGGCTCGGGCGGCGCGGGGGCCGCCGAGCGGGTCTGTAATCGGCCGGGGGCGTAAGAAAAAGCCGGAGGGAGCCTGCCCTGCCCGGTGGGCCGTGGACATGGAGGCCTTCGCAGAGCATCGGAAAGCCACCCGACAATATCTCGGCACGCTTCAATTGACTCAGTCCAGAACGCAGCCGCCAATGCCACAGAACAAGGCAGATGGCGAAGATGGCTCATCAACGAACTCGTATGCCGACGACTACCAACAGCCGGAGGGAGAGAGAGAAAAGAGGCTGTGTATTTTCGTAGTTCGTACAGAGTAAGGTAGCGTGCCCACTTTCCGTAAATATGCTTTTGATCCGGTGGTTTGGTAGCTGTGAGCCACGTTCTCGTAGCATCGGAGCGGCGCCCGCCCGATCGTACCTTGATTGTACTTGTAGAGTTGGAAAGAAATAGCAGGGCAGGGGCCGCAATCGAGGCTGAAGCTTACGGAGTACAGCCTGAGAAGCATCAAGACCGTTCTGACATCGACTCATTGGGCAAAGCGGTCATGACGACCAAAACTTCTTTGAGTGAAGTCTAGCGTCGAAACGGGAGCGAAAAAAGCTCGGACGGGGGGCCGATCATGATGCAGGGGCTTGAGGCTGCAGCTACGAGCCTACGACCAGTTATCCGAGCTCTCAAAGGAATCTCGCTGCCTGTTGGGCTGCAAATTGCATGTCAGCCCTAGTCAGCCGTCTACAGCGTAGGTGAGGTAATTCGCGTCTGCACATCTGCAGTGATATTTGACGCCGTTCGGAGCCTCTCGATGGATACCTGATGCGTCGTGCACAGTCGTGTGGTTCGATGGCGGCCAGGCCGAGGAGAAAACAGCGACGGCAAGTTGGGAAGACCCAAACGAACGGATACGCGCAACGGGAGCGAACCCGGCGACCGTCGCACTGTCCTGTTCCAGGGAACGCAAAACTGGAGCTCGATTGGGAGGCCCCCGTCTGCGACGGTCAAGCTTTTTCGTTCTGAGGCCACAAGGCCAACAATACGGAGAAGAACGTGAGAAACCCACAGCAAAGTATGGAAAAAAGTGGTGAGCCAATGGCCGGGGAAATCTCCACTCGGCGGGAGCTACGATTCTGATTTCCCAAAATGGAAGACCGTGGGGCCGTTTCTTCCATCGCCGTAAACATTTATTTTTCCCTCCGTCTTTTCTCCCCCTCGAGGGTACGACCATTTCGTTTCTCCACTTTGCCAAGGAAGCTTCGCCACCACAAGAGGGGACCTTCAATTCGCAACAACTTGTAGCGTATCCGTAGAAGAAAAAGAATGGAGAAATGGCCAACCTTGGTTTATCAATTTCACAGTCAAAGGCCGAGGCCATGACGGCGAGTCATCCAGGCATCCAGGGCATGTTCGAATATTCGTCGAGTGGTCGGTACCCTACGAATAGTTTTGTCAGCTCTACTGTCTCGTGTTACTATTCTTCATCATCGCGGATGTAGAGGCAGACAAGCACGGGTTGCATGTGCGGTACTATCTACGCGGTGTGGTACGGATGCTCGAGTGGCTGTGATATTTGGTTTCTTCGCGAGATTGGCGTGTGAGTGTGAAATGTGAAATGCAGGGGGCAGATGTGGGTTCTTGGCACCACCTTGAATCAAGGGGAAACGAATTCTTGATGGGCCGCCGGGGGAACTCACAGGAGATATGATGAACAGTGGTGGAACGCGATGATGAACACACTGAATCATCCGGTCCACGGTAAACATTGGATGGCGGGCGGTATGTGGGAAAGACGGCGGCAGGCAGATCCATGCCGTCCGATTGACACCCGCGTCCCCCGAAGAAATGCTGCCGGCTGTGCGTCTGAGAGCGTCGTCGTTGTGAGCCCTGAGGCAAAATTGCCGGCCGACTGACGCTACGCCGCTCACAGCCGCACGCGAGTGACCTTACGAGGCGTGCCGGCACAGAGGACGTCCCGGCTTCTCGTTGACTTAGACTGGAGGCTGCCGTGAGGTCAGCGAGAACTGGAAAAGTGAGGTGTAGGGCCGTAGGCGTGCGTGGCTGTCGAGGACTTGCTGACTGTGCAGCGGCTTGTAGCCACACGAGTATCCGTAACGAGCAGCGGCTTGAGCTTGAGCTTCAGTTTCAGACATTGAATGCTAGGTGTGCCAACTTGGATTATTAAGGGGACACCGCCAAGACCCAGTGTGATGTCGGTGATGATGGCTTGAAAGGTGCTGGCGAGATTGGCACGAAATGAACAAGAGATGGCGCCTGGCTCGCCTCGTCTCGCCTCACCCGCCAAGACCCAAATATTCCAACGCTTGCTTAAAGTTGCGGGCACCTCACCGTGGCACGCCGCACGGCTCCAGACGGGAGGCCAGCTTGAAAACAGCAGGATCGTCGTCTCGCCGCCCGTCCTTCGTATCGGCATTCGTACGGTACAAAGTAACACTGCGGCCAATACAGGTCCAATGCCCTGTACCTAGACCGGGCCTGGCCATCAAAGACTCAGGGCTTCCAGTGAAATCTGCAGGACACACAGATGGGGACTCTCGGGGGTTGCCGTTGTCGCCTGTAACGTCTTTCAGGGGCACGAACCATCGGTGAGCAAGGCCTAGGAACTCAGGGAGTAGAGGTTAGCCGATGCGTATCTCATCGCTGGTCGATGAGTCGTGAGTTCTGAGGTACGCATGGATAGGGTTTCACACGCAGGGAGAAGTATGCTAGAACCAGAGGGAGTGAGAGGGAGCAACAGACTCACTGGAACAAGAGTTTGAAGGCATCGGAGGAGTACAGAGTGACCAGACCTGTATCCGTACCTTACATTGCAGCGTCTTGAATTCTTGGCAGAGGAATGAGTTGACAGCGAATCAATCTCGATCACCGGCCGAGGGAAAGGTGGAGCAGGAAATCAATGCTGTCAACGGCCTTGGCCAGGAGAGACCCGTCTGCGGTGTCGTGTTGTCCAATCATCGGCAAAGCTGCTATTTTCTGCGTCTCTTTGCCCCCGTGGAGATGCATTTGGGCGACCAAGGATGAAGGCCAGAAACAAGAAAGTCGAAATCCAGGGAATCAAGCGATCAACTTGGGCGCCTCCACGTGTCGACGGCGGTCGGGCTCAGCCCAGTGGGCAGATGGACGGAGCGAGTGGAGGAACTGCGATGCAAGTAAGCTCGACAGCCGCCAGCGTGCTCGTGCGTGCCCGATTCTTTCTGCCTGGAGATCAGGGACAATTTTTTTTTTTGTCAGCGCGCAGGATATCAATGCGTGGTGATGATGGCCAAAGTGTACGAAGATCCCGTTCGGGAGTTGATGCAGCAGTCGAGAGTCAACCCAAAGCATTCGTAAGTGCATTGAGACTGTGACATTTCAGACTCGTCACTCACCCAAATGCTGCAAAGGCAACTGCAAAGAGAAGAAGAAGGAGCAGTCCTGACGAAGTGGAGCCGCATGGCCCCTGTTTCAGCTCCGCCCCTTGCTCCTTCCACCGGTTCTCACTGGCTTTCCACTTGGGTCCGAATTGTGGGTTCCTTCCCCGGGGCTGGCCGCTCCAAGTGCCCCACACCCTTGTCTCTCGCTCCTTCCCTACGCCTGACATTTTTTTTTTTGGTCGACTGGGGCAGGAACAGAGGAAACACACGCTTTCCATTGGGCAAAGAAAGGCAGGCATTGGCCGTTTGACGATCCGGCAGCGGGAAGGTGTGAAGGTCTGGACTGAAGAGGAAAAGCGCCAAGGGGTGCATCTGTGGCCTGCAGGAGCGAATGTTCTTTCTCACCAGGAAAGAGCGAGCCATTGGGCCAAGAGGTGGGAGTGGGAGCAAGAGCGAGAAAAGACGGTAAAAAATAAAATAAAAAACAAGTCATGAAAATAATCAGTGGCTACAGACGCGACGGTGACATTTCTCTTCTCTTGGCTGCTTTTCACCGCATACTTAACGAAACATCTCCTATTTCACATCTCTTCCTCCTACATCCCCTTCTCCTTCTGATCTCTTCCTCTTGGAAATCCCCTCCTGTCACTACTACTTCTTCATCTTTTCTTTTCGTCCGACACTCGCTTTCACCAATTCAACCCCTGATCATCACCAAGTTCCTACTTCACGGTACCTGTGCTTACCACACCATCTCACCTCCTGGCCCTGGTCGACTTCCACACCATCAGCGCCCTTTTCGAGTTTAACTCCCGTCTAATATCCCAACTTCACACAAGGTTCCCCCTTCTTCTCTCATCATCCTTCCGACCAATTTCGTACCCCTTCCAACGCTACGCTTCATATACCAAACGCTCCCGCGCCAAAAGCTACCCTACGGTCCTTACGGTCCTTACTCTTTTCGACCAACCATCCCTCACTCCCGCTGCCATCGTTGCCGATTGACAGACAGGGTCTGTCTATAATCGACACGTTAGGAGCATATCAAAGAGCTCCTCCTCCCTTTCCCGCTCCTCTTCTTCCCTCCCGCTTCCGGATATGCCACACCTAAACACCTCGGCCTACGAAGTTCCAACAATCAATATACCAACCAACGACTCCGGAGTCACGCCTCACATCATGGCTGAAGAAGGTGGTCACCATGCGCCTACGGGCGGTAACAACCACAACCCTGCCAGCGACAACCAGAACCACCAGGATTTCACCATTAAGCCGCGCATGACCGACTTCAACACGGAAGAGCTGCGCGACACAATGTCGCCCACCGGTCCCATGACTCCGAACCCCTTCAGCAGGAAAAACACCAGCATCGACATTGACGATTACTTCACCGGCCCTCGCGATATCCTCAAGCACTCCAAATGGCCTCTCTTCATGCAAATGCACGGCAGCATTTTGCCCAAGATGGTTGTTCCCCTGATTTGGATGTCTCTCTGGTCCGCCGCTATCACTGTCATCGACAAGTACCGCACCACTATGGGTGTCGACTCTGTCCTGCTTACCGTGCTGGGTTTCGTTGTCGGTATGGGTCTTTCTTTGCGCAGTTCTACCGCCTATGAACGTTACGCCGAGGGTCGCCGCTACTGGGCCCAGCTCATTCTCGCTACCCAGAGTCTTGGCCGCGTCTTCTGGATTCACGGTGGTGACAACGAAGACATCGATCCCAGACAGTCGCTGCTCCGCAAGGTCGGCTGCATGAACCTGCTCCTCGCCTTTTCCGTTTCCCTGAAGCACAAGCTTCGCTTTGAGCCCTACACCCAGTACGAGGACCTCGAGCACCTCGTCTCCCACATGACGACCTTTGCGCAAGAAGCCACGGCCGCCGAGCCCGAGAAGATGACCCTGAAGAAGAAGAACTTCTTCAAGGAGACTGGTGAATACCTTGGCGTCTCCTTCGCCGCCAGTAACCCCCGCAAGACCATCAAGAAGGCCTCCCGTCCTCTTGGCAACCTCCCCCTCGAGATTCTCTCTCACATCTCCTGCCTCATCGACAGGATGGTCGAGGACGGCCAGCTCAAGGTCCCCATGCAGCAAACCCTTGCCTACAACAACGTTGCCCTTCTGAACGACATCATGACCGGAACCGAGCGTGTCCTGACCACACCTCTCCCTATTGCGTACGCCATTGCCATCAGCCAGATCACCTGGGTCTATGTTATGCTGCTCCCCTTCCAGCTGATTGACAAGCTTGGCTGGATCACCATTCCCGCCACCGTCGCCGCGTCATACATCATCCTCGGTATCCTCTTCATCGGTCGCGAGATTGAGAACCCCTTTGGCGAGGACGTCAACGACTTGCCTCTTGAGGTCTACTGCGAACAGGTCGCCTCTGAACTCGATATCATCGCCTCATTCGAGAAGCGCGACCCCTACCGATTCATGGAGTCATCCCAAAACTTGCCCTTGTTTCCTGCCAGCATGGCTCCCTACCACATCTGGATGGGCCGCTCCGAGAACCGCGTCCGCGAGGCAATCAAGTCCAAGCACAACACCGTCTTCGAGTTCCGTAAGAAGGTCATTCTCGACAAGGTGGCGTCAAGGGCCGGCAACACCGCGACAGAGAAGAAGCCTAGCAGCGAAGGCACCACCACTATCAATGGCGACCACAACGTCTAAACAGACTGCGTGTGCCTTCACTTTGCTTCCAATCTTTCTTCATCTCTCTTCCTTCCCCTCTGTTTGAATTGGAAATGGGTTGGGTGAGAGCGGGTTTAGCGATTTGCGTCAAGGAGCATTTACGGCACGGAAAAACAAGATTCTTTCATACACGGCCCCGGCAGGTGGCTTCTTGCGGCATAGGAACGGTTCGGATCTTTCTTTTCACTGTAATTACCTAGTTCCTGGATGACACAAAAAAAGGGACAGGTGTGGTTTTGAGCGTGGCATTTTCTCTCATGGTATTGAGACGACTACAGAAACAACTCTACAAGCGTAGACATCAAATTGAATGGAAAACATTTCAAAATGAAGAGATCCCCCGATAGCGACAACGTATTACTTTTTGTACCATGCGATGAAGTCTTACATCCTCTGCTAATCTCCCTACCAAAGATACACACGACCTTTCCACCTCGACAATAAAATTCCTTCCCCGATCTCGAAAACCTGGGTACTATCAAGCAACGGGGCGGGCCGCCCTCCGTAAAGTGGGTGTGTGTGTGGGTTTCCTCGGACCTCCATCGACCGGGGTCTGAAGCGGAACGTCAGACCAAGCGGAAACCAACCCAAACATATAGTAAATGCGCACGACTTTTACTTATAGGTTACCTTGGATCGGAACAAAGGGCTACTTTTCGAACTTTGGGATCCATACTTCGACCAGAGGTGGGATTCAGTCAGTCATTCGGTCGTTCTAGACTTAGCTGACTGCGCGATGTTGAATGGTTCAAGACATGGCCCAGACATGATATTCTCTATAGCTCACGGGATTAGTGATGTAAATACATCGTACCACAGTGCTTCCCAATTTGGCATAGAACATCAAGCTCAAAGACCTACTTACCTAGAGTGTCCAGTTGGTAGGGTGCCATGGTCTGCATGTTTTGGGGATACACCATTTTGATGCCCACCTTACCTTACCTTAGGTACACAGGTAACTGCGTACTAGGCACTTTATCAAGTCGAGGCAATACATGATCCTGATTTTCAGCCAGCCCGGGGGTTTCCCGGGATATGATTAGGCACGCGACAAGTTCAATGTAATTATCCCGCTCCGGCACCCGCCCTGGGGGACAGCCGTGCGGGCGCGGGGTACGGCCGGGCGCGGGGACATGCCATACCCGGTCTCTTTCTCCCTCCGAGGAGCGCCCTGCCTCAAGGATTTTAGAATTGCCCGCGGCAAACCGGGACCACATCTTCCCATATTACTCAAGCTCAGCGCCCGCGAAGCAGCGCCCGACTCCGCGTTGATTAGGTAGTCTGGAGCCGCCGCCGGAGTGTGGATTTTGGCACCAATGGCGGGGAACGCCACGCAAAAACGCCACGAGAATGAGCGCCTTGGGACGGACCCGCCGGTGTAACCGAGATCTTTACATCATACCTACCCAAGCTGCTAAGGTAAGGCTTGAATCTGACAAGCGTGACAGGCGTGACAGGTCGATCTGGTCGATTCCGACTCCTTGGTCCAGATTTTCGGGATCCTATCGATCGCGCCGAAGGGTCACTTTCTCCACTTGAGGTGGGAGACCGTCGCGCCTCGCTACGTATGTGCGTTTGCAAGAAGATCCACGTAGTACGACTCATTGCGTACGATTCGATTTTTATTTCAATGGATAAGCTGTGTATTGGGAGGCATGGAGGGATTCCTTGTTTGTCGCACGTCAAATTGGCAGCTGTTCCATGTATGAGTTCTCTCGTTGGCCGATATTGCTGCACGGCGCCTCATACCGAGTGAGACATACCGCTTGGAAACATAGCATCTCGTAATGCTGAAAGAAGTCCAAGACGTTTCGACGAAAATGCCCATAGGTTATCGGCTACCATTCCGAATTCAGTAGTACGAATGCGGCCATGGGAAGGGAAGAGGACTCATGTTTCAGGAGGGGCGACAAGCATCTGTGATGAACATGAAGGAAAATATGAATTTGGAACAGAAGCAAACGTGGAATGGGTGTCCTATCGAACCTAGATGGGGAAGAAGATCTAGTCGCGAGGGGCGCAACCCAAGCGTGGATCGGTTCGCCGGATCCGGAGCGGCCATCGCGCAGCCGGGGACGCGGCCTCTGAGACATTCCCTCTTTTTTCTTACCGAACGCGTGCCGGAAAATGGGTTGAGGCTCGTTTAAGCGCCGAACTCTAAGCCCGTGGCGTCTTTTGCCCGTATATGTGGTAAAAGCCTCCCACTCTCTGAGCCCCGATGCTGATCACTTTCTTTGGTTCTGCTTCTCTCTTCCCTTTCTTCCTAGTTTCTTGTCCTGTCCTCACTTGTTTTTTGGACTGAATGATCTTTCAATTACACCTCCTTCCAACAAGGGGTGAATACCAGGGCTCCAAGGTCCTTAGCTTCTCATTCTGCGTAGCAGCTTGAGGGGCTCGACACCGAACTTCACTCCACGAGAAGTTGATACCGAACCGAACACGACTGGGGCGCCCGTCACCCAAAAGGACGGAACCCAGACACCCGATGCGCATCTCAGAATAAGAAGAAACACCAGGGCATCGAATTTGCTCAATGTTGATCTGGCCCGAGCTAGAAAAGGAAGACATGGACGTGTCTTCCAATGAGACCACCGGGGAAGGATCCGGGTCGACGCAGATGCAGGCACTCTCGCACGAGAGCCTCGCCAACATGATGCTCGGCGTCATCATTGCGGTGCTCATCGTCACGACTGTGTTTGTTGGACTGCGGATCTACGTGAGGGCGCGGGTTGTCAAGCAATGGGGTGCCGATGACACGATGGTTACGCTTTCGTTTGCTACGGTGGCCTTTCATGGGGTCATGCTATGTATGGGTAAGTTTCTGAGATAAGCTTAAGGAAAAAGATTTGTGAAGAAGAGATATCTGGCTAGAAAGGACAATAATGAAGGGGGAGTTTGTGGGCTAACGTGGGTGAGAGGGACACAGGTACGAGATTCGGACTCGGAAAGCATGTGTGGATGACGCAAGCGCAGACAATCGAGAAAGCTCAAAAGGTAAGCCTTCACGAAACAGAGGATTCTATCTACCCTCAGATACTGATTCTAGACGACACAAATAGCTTGCCATGTTCATCATCATGATCTACAACATCGCCTTCGTCACCATTAAGATCGCCTTCCTCCTCCAATACCGCCGAAGCTTTCCCCTTCCCATGGTAGAAATGCTATGTAACGGCGGCATTGCGTTCCTCGTGTTATTTGGCGTATCCCTGATGGTCTCGGCGGGCGTCACGTATAGTGTCATACTCAAACGCGATGTGGCGGATTCGTCCGTCAGTGTGCTGGGATGGTGGCTTGCCAACGCGGCGATACATTTGCTCACGAACATCTTCATCTTTGTTCTGCCGCTACCGCTGCTCGGAAGGCTGAGGCTTCGGCGAGGACAGAAGCTTGCTCTCGCCATCGGCTTCGCTCTGGGATTATTGTGAGTTAATTTCGGCATTTCTTTATTCCCTTAAGAGACCTTGAGTGTTAACGTGAATTTATTCCCATCAGAACATGTGCTGTATCCGTGATTCGGATCGCATATCTTCCCGGGTCTTTTGATATGGTTGACATGACGTACGACGGAATTTCTATCATCCTCTGGTCTGTCGTGGAACTATCGTGCGCGGTCATTTGCTGCTGCATACCGACCCTTCGACCGCTCGTAGAGCGACAACAACAAGATCTCGGTGACGATTATGACGACGCTACCATATTTGGCGGAGGGGATGTCTTCAGAGAAGACATGAGTTTTGGCGCGGGCCCGCAACGCGTTCGACCGGGAGGAATCGGACTCAACAACGAGAGGATGTCTTCCTCCATAAGCTGCGCCTCAGAAACGGGCATGAGAAAACCCGGCCCGACCTTTTTCTGGCTACGTTCGCGGAAACAGAGCGACCACTCGAGCATCAACGGGCTCGACGAGATTGAGCCGATGCCACCCGCGATGCCCATGATGGCGGCGACGGCAGCGGCGATGCCTGTGGTGGAGGTGAATGGGATTCGAAGGGAGAGCGAGCACGGCATCATCGTCGTCGAGAGTGAGCGCGTCGATGGGGTGAACCGTGAGCGTGGAATCCCGCGACGAGAAAGCGTGAGGAGCAGTCTGCGGAGTGACAACAGTCTCGGGGTGGCGCTGCGTAGAGATTTGAGTGTGAGGAGGCAAATGAGCATAGCGATGACGGAACGGGATTCGGATGATGATGTGTACTATTTTGGTGTTAATGAGGAGGATGTGGACTTGGAGTGTCCGACGCCGCTTAGTCCGCCGCCCAAATGTCGAAAGTCGACCAGTTCTTGAGGGGGTTGACGGATGTCTGTTTAGACTTGTAAAACATACTGTACGGCGTTAAGGTGGTCTGGTTCGCGTTTTAATGATGGCGACCTAGGAGTTTTGAATTCACGAGACGGTTTCTAGGAGCATCTATTGCATAAGTCAATGATGAAGTTGAATCCGGAATGGCACGCATTGCCATCCGCTGAGACTCAGTCTACCCGTAGCCCAGCTTCCTTGAGTAGCGGCAAGATCTTCTCACCAAAGTACTCTAAATCTGGTGCGAAATCGTAAAAGTTGATTTGGACACCATCGATCCCAACCTTGTGCAACGCACCTAGTTGCTCAACGACCTGCTCCGGCGACCCGATAATCTCAATATTGCCTCCCAGATTCAGCCCCTTGTTCTCTTTGGCATCCTTCCTGCCCCGCCAGGCATGGGCATCACTATCATACGCCCCGTTCGCCGTCCCAAACTTCTTGACATCGGCCTGGACCTTCTTGGTACCCTCAGCGATGCTTTCCGCATACGCCAACGCCTCCTCGGGCGTATCCCGGGAGACAATGATGGGGTTGATGATGATCTTAACCCCGCTGCGGGCCTGCGCCTCGATAGCGGCTCTGATATTGGCAATGTGAGCCGGCAGCGTCTCAAGCGCGCTATCAATGTGAGCTGTCCCCGGCGAGGTGATGAATATGAGGTCAGAGTACCGCGCGGCGAATTCGATGCCCGCGGGCGAGCCCGTCGCGTTGACGAGGATCGGGCGGCCATAATGCGGTTTGGGTGTGACCCACGCGTTCTCGAGGCGCCACGGCGACACTTTTCCCTCGTAGGAGATGTTCTCCGTTTCGTTCCAAAGACTGTTGACTACGTCAAACAGCTCGCCAGCCATGGTGTACCTCTGGTCGTGTTCGATACGCTGCTTTCCAAACATCTCGTGCTCGATAGCCCGATGACCCGTCACCACGTTGATGCCCCAACGACCCTTGGCGATGTGATCCAGCGTAGCGCCGTACTTTGCAATATGCAAGGGATGAAGGGGTCCGTAGAGGACGTGCATAGTAGAGATGAGCAGAATCGACTTAGTCACAGCTGCCATGGCCCCGAGGGCGACAAAGGCGTCCAGCGAGGCCTCGCCGTCGTAGCCGCCTTTGGGGAGCCATTGGGTGCGGCTGAAGGCCAGTTCGAAGCCGAGTTGCTCGGCGCGCTTGACGAGGGAGACATTGTAGTCAAAGGTCCACGTATTTGTCGTTGGGTGCGTGGAGAAGTTGATGTCTTGGAGGTTGAGGAAGAGGCCTAGGAGAAGAGGTTGTCGTGAGGCTTTGCTTAAGGGGCTATCTTTGAAGTCGAGGGGGCCTTTGAGGTCTGGACCACCCTCGCGGACTGAGGTTGGAGACATGGTTGAAGGGAAGAACACTGGTAGTAATAATGTCAATTTGCCGTGTGAAAGATGGTAAAGCTAATGTGTCTTATTCTTTTCCCCAGGGAATGACTGATCAGTCTGGGAGTTGAGGGGTCCTGATATACATCTTGTGTGGATATTCGGCACTTGACTTCAGACAGGTTGGTTATGTAAGTTGGAGATGACGCGCAAGTGAGGAGCAATGTCGAGATCGCATCCTGCGTCGGTTTACGTGCGTGATGAAAGCCGACCATCTCCGCCATCGGCCGACTATGAGCACGCCATCCAGTGCTATATCTACCCTCCACTCTCTACATCGGCATTTGAAGTGCGTTACTATTGGAGTATTTGAGTCCGAAACCAAGTTCTGAATCTAACCTTTGAGATATGATGGCTTCTACAAGATTTGTTCTCCGCATTACGCCATTACTTCTCCATTGGAAAGGAGCCAATCCTGTCACTAAACTTGTGTCAGTGCTTTAGACATTGACAGGAATAATGATGCTGAACTTCAAGTCGGCCTATCGACCCAGTAGTATTGAGAAATTCATTACCTCGATTGGACTTTAGAGCTTTAGTCTAGCTGCCTCAGACTTAACAATGGCGGGTACCTCATCTTCCAGACTCTTCTCCTGTGGCTTCCATCCGAGTACCTTCTTCGCGCGCAAGGCAGAAGCTCGAGAGTTCAAACCCCAACTAGCTGCCTCAAATCCAGCAGACGATTTGACGGCCTCGTCATAAGACAGCTCTCGTACCTCGGGCTCTTGCTTGATGAAGCCCTGCTCATGGGCGGCCTTCCCGACCAGCGTTGACAAATTACCCCAGACATGCTCCCCGTTCTCAGTGAGGAAGTACCCCTTGCCGCCCCAGATCTCCTTATCATCCTTCCGAGATGGGTCCAGCGCTGCCTCAACCAGCAACTCAAACACTACGCTGAGATCGTGAACATGGACATTATTCCACCGAGCAAGTCCCTTGCCGATGCGGGGACTGTATCCCTCCTTCAACACAAAAGCAGCCAGCTCATACACCTGACGACCTCGGCCCGACACCGGCCCCCGTCCTTGGCCATAGATCGTGGGCGGGCAGACAATTGCAGTCTTGACGGAGTCAGTGTGCTTGTTGCCGGTCTCGAGGACGATCTCATCAATATTGCGGTGGAAAGCGGCGGCTGGCAAGTTGACGAGCTCGTCAACACCCTCGTAGTCGTTGAAGACCTTGTCGTCGTGCTCGCCAAATGTCTTCTTGACTTCCGAGTCGAAGTAGGTCAGGATGCCGGTGCCGCCCGTGTGCAGCCAGAATCCTGGCCGGGATGGCGAGTGGCCCGACACGAGACCCTTTGCAATGGCCTTGGCTGCCCCTGCGTGGTCCGACGAGTCGGCCGTGTCTGAGCAAGGGGAGTAGGTGTTAGTGGAGTGTCACGCCAGGATCTGAGGAGTACCTAGCTGATAACTTACGAATTACGACATCAGCCCATGCTGCCTCGCGTTCCAGGGCCTCGGAATCATCGAGTCCTCCGATGACAATCCTAGCCTTCGGAAACTTTTCAAGCACCTTGTCTGCCTTTTCTTGGGTTCGAATGAGAAGCGCATATTCGAAATCGGGATGCTTCTGGTACAGCTGGTGGAGGGCATCGCCACCGATGTAGCCGGTAGCTCCTGTGAGAAAGATCTTGGCGGTCATTTTGGTAGTTTGTGTCGTGTGAGCAAGCAGAAGCTTGACTGAGGTTCTTGTTCACCTAATAAATGGAAAGATTATGATGTTATTGCTGGCGTGATTTACGTGTGACTTACGTAGCTAACTATAGCTTCTTCTATGACGTCTGCGTGGATTTCTAATCGTGAGTAAACCGCTCCCGGATATTTGTTTAACCACCGAAGGGCACGGGAAGTGGTTTCCGTCTTGCCTCATCCCCGCCAGAGACGCCGATAACCATTGGCTTCTGTCACTATAAGAGCCATCTCCAATGTTTCTAGATAAATCGCTCGTTGAAATAAGCTTATTTTGCCCACAAGACGTGAAATATCTGCTTGACCAAGAGAGCCGTGCGATTGAATTGAGGCTGCCCACGTAGGCGGGGTATCGCAAGGTGCCCCTCACTTGCCATTTGCACACGGTCCCACATTCATCAAAATCCGAGATGTCGACGGTCATTGCAGCTCAAAGTCCCGCAGGAACCACGGATGAGGTATCCGCCGTGACAATATTCCTCGTGTATTCGTGTTCAAAGATCTTGAAGTGCTTTGGTAATTTGCTCTTCAATTCAAAGGGAGGGTTCAATGTTCCTCTTGTCACCTCGCAGAGTGACAGTTGAGGGTCTGACAGGCCCCCGGACACCGACACGAGGGAGACTATTGAAAGACAACTTGACTAAGCCTCGGCCACTGTTTGGGTACACAAACCACTCAAGGGCGGCATATCTGTTCGTTCATCAGGAAGACATCCATGTGTGGCTGCGAACTTTCACAGTCTCCCGATTGGCAGATTCCCACGCTGCAAAAAGCTTCGCGTCTCCCACAACGGCCATATATGCTGCAGCAAGTTCCCTGCTTTCCAGCACACTGGCGATTGCCGTTCGCGTATCCACAGGTCCCATCGGTCGTGTACACTTTGTGGCCCCAGCAGATACCCTCCCAGCAAGTTCCAGGCGCACAGTCGATGCTGAAGAGTGGTGAGAAGGATCAGCATCGCTAACTCCCAGTGAAACACGATTATGAATGCGATCGAGGGGGATCGAGTACTTTCACTTACTCTTTCTGGCCACATCGCCAAGTCTCCGAATTGCAGCATTGCCCGTTTGTTCCAACACAGGTGACGCCTGGACGCGACGGGCCACACACGCCATCCCATGCCCTCTTCGGCTCTACGACTAAAGCGAGGAGAATGATAAGTTTGAAAACCGCGACAGCTCATACATTGTGAACACTCACATCCATCAGTGCAGTATGTGGCGCAAGGAAGTATGTTCCTGCATTCGCGGTCCAAGGAAGGGTTGAGGAGGAAGAACTTGTCCAGTGTAATCTGGTAACGGACTGCTAGCTTCTGACAGGTCTCCGGACCGACATGTTCGTAGGTGTTACTCTCATAGCGACAGTTGATCTCTCCTGGCTGTGTAGCGGCACCTCTGATTCCATGAATGAGTGTATGAGTCGTGCATTGGCGTGGTCGTGATATCGTGACTGCGGGACGGCCGGGAGTAGTGGGATTCGCCCAAGTTACTGGCTTGCACTTTCCAGTGCTAGCAAGGAGAGAGGGTAGCGGGGTGATGCCGCTCACTATAATAGCAAAAAGAAAGATGGCAATAGTGGCACTTGCGAGAGCACTGCCAACCTTGAAATACATAATAACCTCGAGACGGCGTGAAAGCTGGTGACGGGCAAACGAAAGCGACTTTCAGTCTGCTTGGATGACCGTTCAAAGCTTCTCAGATCTGCCAGAACTTTTTTTGAAGATGCAATTCCTGCCATGTGGCCAGATCGTGAGATAGCGAGACTGTGCCGCAGAGGTAAGTTAGGGCAACTTTGGTTGGTTGCCATGGCAACATTAGGCATCAGCTTCACACTAAATACAATACGATAAAGACTGTTATGAGAAGGCAGTGAGCAAGAGATGTTGGATCATGCTGAAGGCTGGCGCCAGTCTCTGTCCCATCAGTCCATGGTAGACAACATCAAGGATGCAGCCGAGATGGCATGGCGGTATGCCTGCCATCAGTGCAGGCCCGCTTTTCGATCGTGCCTGTTGCCATGTGTGAGCACTCGGTGTCATCGGTGCCGGGAAATTCGGTCCGGAACGCATTTCAGAGCAACATCCTACGAGCATCATGATGAGGGTGAACATCTGATATATAAATCCACGAAAGTCAATCTGTTGGTTGCAGCGGTATTCTTTACAAGTCATTTCGTTCTGGAGCAGTGATGTCTGCATTGCTGCCAAACCCGATTCCGAAAAGGAAGGGGAATCGCTCGCACTATTTGGCAGAGGATACGCGTATTCCAAGTCCTGGTGGATAGAGGGAATCAGTGATCCCCGCCTACCAGCAGTCCGTTTCTGTCATAGCATGGGCAATTAATTCCCTTAAGAATCTTGACCGCATCGCTGATACCTGCTTGAACGGGGAGGACCAGATATTTCGTCAATCGTGTACGTTTGAGTCCAAACTGCTATACATACCCAGGCTGATGTCGGACACCACGCTCTGCCTCCTAAACCAGGACTATTGCTTCAAAACTGACATAGATGGCCCGTGGCTGAGCTAAAAACTGCCCTGAAAAGATTCGACTTCGCCAAACGACCCCATGTCATTTTAATGTGGTACAGTGGTATTGCCTTTGTCAATGGAAATATCTCGCAATAGAATGCTCGCCGCGCCCCAAATTAGACCATACCGACAAAAACGCGGCTCATGTCCAAAACTGGTAAGAAATTGCCGGAGAAGCCCTCACATTTAACATCACAACGCGGCGGCCATGGGCGGCGTGCTCGGCTCGCTAGCGGCTGTGACGGACATTGGCGCTAATTAGGTATAAACCTAACCTGGCTCTTAGTCTCTTCCGGTGCAATTGTCTGTGGTAAAATATAGAATTTGTTTGATAGCAAATCAGTAACTGACTGTGTTGTTGAATCGTATAGGCCGGGCGTGGATTCGTCCGTCATACGAAGTGACACCCGCGGTGCCGAAAGCTTGATTATAGTACACTGTCTCCGTAAATCCGGTGAATCCGGCTGCTCTCCTAAACTGGAACTAATGAATTGAGATTGAAGACATGGATAATAACGCTGTTGTGCCTAAGATGCTTCAAACGAAGCCCTCTGTGCGTGCACCCAGCGTTCAAGTAGCTGGCTCTTCTATTCTACTAGGTTCTAATGCCACTCTCTAATTTTTTATCAAAATATACTTGAAGTGATGTAATTACGCTCAAAACATGGAAGTAGAGTTAAATAACGGTCTAATATTCACATAATGTATTTCCCAGATATGCCGCATGCTGCGGGCGGGAGGGTAGTTCCACATCGTTGAGCGTCGGCCTTGCCGTCGATTCTCAATGACGATGGGTCTTGCCTGAAACTAAGCTTCGACTCCTCATATCAGTCAATATAGAGAGACGCTCTTTGCGGAAGTGCTATGTGGAGGAAGTAGGCGCACCTTCTAGTGGTGACTTTTGAGAAAAGAGAGGATATAAGTAATCCTTAAATCTGACCTTGTTTTGAGAGAAGTGTCCAAGTAGACCAGACGCCTCTCAACTCCACCACTAGTCTTTGTCTGTTGCATCATCAAGCTACACCATCCGATCCCTTTACAGGCGACTAGAGTTCCGCAATCATGTTACTCACTTATTCCATCTTCACCTTGCTCTCGGTCTTCATTAATCTCACGAGCGTCTATGCCACTCCCTTCGACAAAGGAGATATAACGAAGCACGTGCCCTTGCATAAGCGAGAGACCGAAAAGCTCCAAGCAAGACTGGTATGCTACCACAAACAAGCATACCATGTAGCTATCGTGATCGACCGCGACGAATATGGGGTATCCTATCGCTACCACGCGACCCAGAAAGGCCAAACCCGAACGTTCAAGCTTGACCGTGACCGACGCGAGGGGGGCAGTTATGTCGATTCTTTGATCCCGAAGCTTTCCGCCAATATTCCCATCAACGGCTACGTCGACACCTTTGAAGAAGTCGATGAGCTTATCAACGACACGGATCTGCTACCCTCGAACGGGTACGACTGCTGGCAATACCTCAAGAATGCGCTTAATGCGATGAGACAGCGGATGGCTGACGCAGTCCGAGATGGACTCTGCCTATAACGAACTTCTGCAGAAGGCCCAGGAAAACGGGATGACTTTGACTTGTCAAGCTTTCTGAGCCCAGGAATGATAGAATTTGTAGATTTGTCGTTATTAGCAGGTTCAGGACATCGGGCTGCGAAGCGCCACTCGGGTTTGAGGACGTGTCTGGGAAGGACATTCAAACGACGTAGTACGAGTGCCTCGCGTAGAAGAGACTCTGAAAGCATAGTTCAGAACTAATTGATACCAGTCAGGCCAGCATCAACCTCTAGTGTAAATTGTGAAGTAGTAGCAAATAACTTTGGCAAATTAGTTCCAAAATTGTTGCCCAGGTTCCTACTTCGTCAATAAAACACTGACAGGATGCTAGGCAATGCAAAGGACAGTGCCTGGGACTACACATAGACTCATCTGCCCATGCCAGTTAACACTTGGTTGGATATTTTACCTTACTACACGCTACGCGGCCAGTTGTATCGCAGGAGAGATGCAAGAAACACGAGATATTACCCGACCTTACCGGAGCGGTCTGATTAGCCAAGGCAAGTACTTATCATGAATAGAATACCTGCAGAGAATCGAGATAACATGACGTGGTGAATTAAATGGTACATGTATGAACGCTATGAAGCCTCTTTTCACGTCAGCTACATAATCGGAAGTAGAGGAATACTATCTTACAGGGGTGTGTCATCGTAGTAACGAAAGCAACTTTGTGCTAGTTTACAACTACTTCACTCTACTAGTGTCAAATGAGACAAGCTACTTCAATACGATGAAAGAAAACTCTGACTTCATGTTTGACTCATCTACCTTTACCTTACTCGGGTATACACACCTAGTAGGTAGGTGGGTAAATTAAGAAAACATAGGTGGCCTAACCTCAGCTCCTGAGCTCCATCCATGTGGGAATCTCCAGTCAATGGTTTGACCACCGCTGTCAAAGCTAAGGCTTTCAAAATCTTTCCTTGTTGGTCAAAGGTCATGAGCAGATCGATAGCCACCTTCTGTCTTTGGAATACTCATCATCCAACAAATTTCCCAACCCTACTCATCTCTCAGTTACTGTGCATTTGTCGGTCCCTTTTCGCCGCTCAGTGGCGGACTTCCCGCTGGCTCCTTGTCCTTGGGAGGTGAATCGCTAATCGGATCCTCCTTTTCACTGGATCCAGACTCCTGACCAGAACAGCCCTGCTGGTCTGTGAGGCCACCGTAAAAGCTCTCTCGGTACGCGGCGTCCAGCTGAGCCTGAAAGTTGGCGTCGGTGACCGGAACTTGAGTCTTTTCATATTTGACATCCGAGAGCGCTTTCTTCGCAGCCTCAGGAAGAGAGAACCAACTGACAACTGTGCGCTCAAACACCTTGTCCCCATCAGCACCCGTAAATGGCGAGAAGGCATTGTCGTGAATTTGCATTTTTGGATGCGTTGGTGTGTCTACACCGACTCCTGAGGATGCATATGAGATCTTGCCTGCCGGTGCGGTATCCCAGACAAGATGATCGGTCGTGAATGACACGCCCACAGGCGACACAGATGAGGCATCTTCCCCGCAACCGAATTGGTTCAACCAGACTACAACACTGGCCCAGTAGTGCGTGTGACCCTCGTTGTTGCCTTTGCCCCAACGGACCTTGGGCATGTAGTAGGAAAACATGATGCCAGTGCGGTTTTGACTTTGTCCACCTCTGACGTAGACCTGGGCGGTACCTCCATCATCACATCCGCTTCTGCCACCTCCGGTTGGCCTCAAGCCCTCTCTGCATCACTTCTCGTTAGCTATTCGTTTTGTGCTTCAGATCTCGTGTAATGTATTTGTCTGACCCGAGGTTACCGGTAGCATCAACAGCAGGGTAAGGATCACAGCCGCCCGAAACATAGAGGAATGGATTAAACCGAAGCTCAAGTTGTCCCTCGAAACCTGACGAGGCGCTCTGGGTGAGTGGAACAATCTTGTTGTGGCCCAGTGTTGGATGTCCGGCATAATCATCGTTGCCTCGCGGCAGGACAAAGGCCAATGCGCCGTGGACGAGAAGGCAGCCAAGTGATGGCTTTAAGATACTAAGCTTCATGGTGAGCTTTATCGTTGGAAGCTTAGGAGTTTCAAAGGGCCACACTTCAAGAGGGTTGATGCGAGGTGTGTGGATTGATAAAGATGAAAGAAGCGGTGGCTATAGAATTATCAGAGAGACAGGTTAGCATTGAAGGCTTTCTCGTGTAAAGGACACTAATTTGAGGCTTTATCTAGTAATGGCTGCCCTCAGGATGTTAGCATGCCTTCCGTTGTGTTGCGTCCACATAGCCTGCGAACTCTCTCTCTCTCACGATCAGAAATAAGTTTCATTATGGCAGGAGCTTCAACACGGTATTTCCGGTCTGAACCCTCTCTATGCCAGATCCTTGGCAATCTGTCATAGCTAACAACCCCTAAGAATCTACACTGCACCGATACCGCGTACCTGATCTCCAAAATTTTGTTCTGTTATTTCTAAGGAAGGAGTGTCACGACTCACGTACCTTACCGTACTCTCGGCTGAGCCGGCCCCACGTAAATCTACACAGAGCACTTGTTAGCCTTACCAGAGTGCCCAGCATTCTTCAGTCAGTTTTGCGGACACAGCCGCTAATTGAGGACGGTTAGGAAGAACACATGTGAAAATTGTAGTATTCTGGCCCTCGCTGTTAAATTGTCCGGGTTCTTCGTACATTTCAAGTCTTCACCTCATTCATTATCACACTTCGGGGTCACTGAGAAAAGTATGACTCAACACCAGGATAGATACCTTAGCTCAGCCATCATGAGGTGGTCAATATGGACCCCTGCAAGCTGTGATACAGCAGATCGTGTGGAGTACTTCTCTCTATAATTTGACATCTCGTCCGGTATCTCGATTTTCAGCAAATCCTTTGTAGGCACATCAGTTATACTGTCGTACCTCTGTGAAAGGCCGGGTGGAACCCATGCGGGAAGACCTCCTGATTGAACCAAAAGCCCAAGAAATTCCCGTTCATCCAAAACTTTACAAGTCTAAAGTATAAAATAGAGGGCAAGTGCGGTTAGCTTGGCACGTCAATTATACTTCAGGTGTGCAGATTAAACCCGGTTATCCCTAAGGTATTAGGCGCAATCCCTAAATTTGTCTGGTGAAATAGAGAAACATCCGTAAATGAAATCAATATAATTTGCCAATTAGAGCATTTTTCATACGAAAACACCTACTTCGCTTATGTTTTTTTACGTTTACCAGCATCTGAATCGTTCAAATGCACCACGACCAGGCACGTCGATCGCGTCCGTCAAATTCGCTTTCGACTCAGGTACCTATCGTACATCTCGGCCCTATAGGCGAATTATTCGGAATAATGACACCTAGTAATCGAACGTCAACCGTGAGGTTAATCAATGTTTATGGTCTACCTGAAGATTCGATGAATTAGAAATGAACAGGACAGGACTGGGAGATTCGATGTTTTTCGGTTGTTCATCTCGGAACCGCCCTGTACGATCGTCAACTCAGGCGTCGAGTTTCTAATGAACTCAGTTGGAAACCATCCGAGTCGGCGATAACCGAATTAGGCCGACGGTAAGATACGTGAACACTATTATGTTAAGCAATCTCTAGATTCTTGTGCTCTGTCCTGCCAGGAAGGATTCCAGCCCGGGTATCCCGAATAAGCTGCTGTCATCGAAGACGTCAATGACAACAGAATGTGGTTTAAATCGAGACATATGTCCTGGGAGTAAAGTAGCTTGAACATATCATTTTCTTGTTTGTCGCATCTTCTTTCTGTCGCAAACTTCACCATCATGCGCCTCTTACTTTCTACTGCCATCTTTGGCATTTTTCTCTTCTTGACTAGCTTTGCTCACAGCGCTGCAACAGACATTAATGAACTATCGTTGGCGGAGCGCTCAGGTACCTCTGAGATCGCCCGTCGAGGATGGAAGTTCAAGAGCATCTTCAAAGGCAAGAGCAGCAAAGGTTCTAGCTCCGCCCAGCCAGAGCAGGAAGTCGAGTCCGAATCAGACAACGAGGAGCAAACCGCTGCAGCCGATCTGAGCGACGCTGAGGATGGCCGTGTGCCGGACATTACGAAGAGGGGCTACATATTCCAGGCACATCGCCGCTCGGACTCTGTGAGAGTCGACGTTGGTGTCATGATTCCTTCGCCTCAGGATTGGAAGCCCGACATGTTCTGGAGCATGGACGATATGGCCGTCTACCCGAGTGAGAACGAAATCAGAGTGTTTAACGCGATCAACGAAGACGACCCCACCCCCGAGCCGCGCAAATGTCGCTTCCGGACCATCATGATGGCCACTTGGAAGGAATACTCGAACAAATACGTGTCAGAGCTGGAATATGTGAGCTTCGCCAGTATTACGAACGAAGATGCGCTAGAGTCAATCAAGCAGGCGTACCTATGGATGGAGAGAAGCCAAGATGCGGGCGAACCGAACGAACTTCAGATTGACAAGACTGAGGAGGGAACGGATGAGCGGAAGGCATTCAACTGGCTCGTGAACCAGAACCCGCTTGGCCGGGCTGTTCGAGGCATTCCGTCAACGTTCACCGCGATGGAGGATAAGGAGATAGATCGAGTCGATTTATGGACCAGCAACGGAAGCAGGTATATTCGCTATCGGCTTCGCTGATAATTCTTGTGCTCGAGCACGTGTCTTCGACACATGTAATCAGATTAGAGCATTGATGTAACCTCAGCGCGTCTTCTTTAGGAAGATTTTCGCGGTCCGACAGATGGTATATCCGACTGCTCGTGCATTTATAGCTTTCAGACTTACCAGGTTCTACTTGTTGTTTATGTCAATCTGCACTCAGAATATGGCAATGACGTGTAAAAATACAAGGCTATCTACATGTATAGACTAAAAGCACTTGCTTGCTAGTACAGGTAGCGTATCAAACCTGTGACTTTCTGTTGAGCTGATGCCACATAAGCGCACGCTTGGAATGGCTCAAGTAGCTGAAATTTGGTTGCCTAATAATCCAAGAAGGTAATGTGAAAGTCACAGCCACCCCGACGAATCCTACAGATGGTTTTTTGTGCCAGAAGCTTATGTTTTGGTTCCCCATAAGACTTCGGTGGGACGCACACTTGGGAAGGCCAGCCCTGCATTCCAATAAACACATCAATCATCCAAAAAGTTTGATGTGTGGTTTTGTCTTGTTCCCTTGGAGACATCCCACTCAGTATCCGAAAATCAACCTGATGGTCCATTGGCTTGACCAATCAAAGACTCTGGGTGTCGTTCTTCATTGTTGGCTGGCCTGAACTATGCTAATATTGGTTGGCTCGCATTGGACCCTTGTCGCCCCGCAAGCGCACCATGAAGGAACATCCGGATTATTATCTCCAGACGCCAGAATTCCTTCTTCTCCACACGTTCGCCTGCCGCTGCTGATGGGTGTGTTTGTCGACATTACACGGCTAGGTTAAGGTTGCTTCACCCTCTACGGGGTCGACCGCGGGTGGCTTGCGCCGTTATCGCTCCGACGGAGAGGCTGCCCCAGTGGGGTCGCGGCCTACGCAGACGGCCTGAAACAGAGACACGATGGCTCGAAAGGGTAGTCGGAAGACTAGAACTGGCTGCATAACGTGCAAGTGAGTGTGCTTGGAAGAGGTCCAGTCTCATAGTGAAAGTTACAAACTTGGCTCAGAAGATACCCCTTATCTAACTCTTCATCACTGAGCAGGATACGCAAAGTAAAGTGCGACGAGACCAAGCCCACATGCAATCGCTGCGCAGCTACCGGCCGTCAATGTGATGGCTACAGTCCAGCGCCTTCGTTGGCAAACAAATCCGAGCTCCGCCGCTACCGACCACACCATGTTTTTCCGGGGGCAGACGGCATCGGGGAGGGCAGGGCCTTGCAGTTTTTCTGTCAGGTAGCCGGCCCTTACATGTCGGGTGCCGTGGATCCCCATTTTTGGCCTAAGCTCGTGATGCAGTTCACCAGCTTCGAGCCTGCGGCACGTCACTCTGTCATAGCCATCAGTACCCTCTGCGAACGTCTGCAGTTCCAGGAGGACATGGCTGAAGAGATCCTCTTAAAGGACGAAGTCTACGCCTTGCAACACTACAACACAGCTATCCACGACCTCAGGTCCATGACTTCTCCTGAGCGAAGTCCCGTCATACTGCTTGTTTGTGTACTGTTCATCACCGTCGAATTCCTACAAGTCAACCGCGATGAGACCATCAAGCACTTGAAACACGGGTTTCAACTTCTGAAGAATACAATCAGGGACTATGCCTGGACTAAAGAACACTTACTGCCCCTGTTTCGACGACTGAGCATCTATGCGTTCCTGCACGCGGTAGACCCTAAGGACTTTCCCAATCTAGAAGGGCTCGAGCATCCAGTTCCTACTACCTTTTCAACATTCTACGACGCCCAAAGGATGCTCGACGACATCTTCAGCCGTACCTTGCGGCTGGTGCGGAAAGGTGACCCTTATAGAATATACCCAGAAGAACACCAACTCGTACCGCCTGATCTACTAGTCGAGCAAGATAGCCTTGCATCGTCACTAGATCAGTGGAAGATCCTATTTGACGAGTTTGAAGCCCGGCCTGCATCGCCACCGAGTGACCCTATACCCGGGCAAGACACTTTGACGACGGCGTTGAGATACGTCATTCTATCGCGCTACGAATGCTGCAGGATATGGCTGAACACGGCATTTGGCGACAAAGAGTATGACTATGACGATCACTTGTCTGTATTCAAAGCGATGTCTACAGAAGCAGGGATTGTAGACCCGGAGGTTCTTGCGACCTTCGAAGGTTCACCGTATTTCACATTCGACACCGGCTATCTACCCTCAATCTCACTGATTGCAACGAGATGTGCGCACCTGGAGACAACGTTAAAGAATCTGAAGCTGAAGCCGCTTCCAGGTCTTCCAAGAGAAAACATGTGCCTGCTTGCCCAGGCTGGAGATTGCCTCTGCGAAGCGTTACCAGTATCTTCGCGGAACCGCCCGAGTGCAAATTTGGATCGACTGGAAATTGCGGACTAAAGTAATAGAAGTTCTGTACTCTGAGTACTTAGATATCCCTATGCATGTGTGTATACGGATGAACGTTTCATAGAAGAAGCAGACTGTTCGCTTTGTGTTTTGGCCCATTTACTGCACCGGCGGGTGTCCATCTCGAAGCCAAGAAATGACGAGTGAGGCAGACTCAGCTGGCATGTCGAACGGAGCCAAGTGACCAGAGTTGAAAATCTCGGCGTAGGTAAGTTCTTTGTAAGACTTCCACCTTCCAGCTTGTTTAGCCTCATGGTACCAAGGTATCATCTCTCGAAAGCGGAAGAAGGGGTGGCCATGCCAAGCAAGCCCTTCGTTGACTAGTCGTCGCATTCCAGCTGCGTTGCAGTATAAATCCTTGTCACCCACGTATACGAGAGCGCGAATGCCCTGCGAGAATCGTCAATGAGTTCCTGTAATATAGAGCTTGTTCGGTCTGTAGGGTAGGTACTTACCTCATTTAGAAGCCTATTAACGTACCCGTCGCTGGACTTCCACAAGTCACCCACGCTCTCCCACTGCTGAAGGACTTCATACGAGATTCCATCAAATGAGGCATCCTCGTCAACTCCAAGAGCAGCCTTGACCTTGGTCTGGTTCAATAGGGCGTCGATATGGCCCAGCTCAGCGTAGCACTCTTCCGAAGGGCCGTCACCGCAACTTCGTCTCCAGTCGTAAGGGTTTCGCTTCATGCTCTCAACCACATAACCACTCATGGAGGAGCACTTTTCATGAGTTTCGATACACGCTCGGGATGTCCATCCTTCATCATCGCGCGTCCCTTCACAGACACCCAAGTTTTGCTCACACCATAGGTTCAATGGAGCCCATTCGATACACTGTGAGGCGCTGAGAAGGCTATCAGGTCCAGAGCAAAGCGCTTCGAAAGTTCCTGGATTCTGAACGCGAAGTCGCACCAGTCCGTTGCCGATGAGAATCCCCTTCAAGTTGATGCGCGGGGCCCGCAAAGATAGTCGGATTGACGAATGATCTCCCGCCCAATGGCGCTCGTCATCCTGAAATAAAAGCTTTGTAGGAGCGGAGTGACTGCCGAGGTTGTGGGGGTCTTCGTTGCGGAAAATTGCCTGGTTGTCAAGTATTGTTGAGGCCAGAGCCGGCACCCACGACCCACCGTAAGACTCTCCAGCGATGTAGAAATCAAGGTCTGAAAACTGTGGAAAGGCGATCATAAGTTGACGGAGAAACCGATCCATAATTTGAGATGCTTCTTGCAGACCATTGGGTATCTTGGATCCTGTTGAGTAGCCAACACTCACTGGCTGGCTGGAGATTGATCATACAAGCATTAGCCTGGCATCTTTGGAGGTGACAGATAGGAATCCCGAGATCGAGGTCGTCCTCGAAAGACACAACTCAACTTACTCGACAAAGACCAAGGTTGCATTCGTGTTCCAAGCGTACGGGTTGTCGATGGTGTACCCGCCCTCGGGCGCGATGCGACAGGGGCCTAGTTCCATCAGGTTACCATAACCTGTAGAGGACGCTCCTGGGCCACTAGAAATGCCCAAATTCAACGTTAGCAGTGAGGTATCACCGGTATTCAAGTACGGGTGGCCCTAGCGTATGCGACAGACCATCGCTACGGCGCTTCCTGAACGATCGAGACGACGGCAAACACTGACTGACCCAGACATCCATAGTATTACGGGATCATTAGAAGGCCGATGTTTACTCTCAAAGAGCCAGAAGAAGTGTTGGTATTCCTATCACAGGGATGGTTCGAACCGTGGGTGACGAAGAGGTCAAAATCTATATATATTTAACTTCTGCGTAAGGTGTAAAAAGGAGGTTCTAACCGGAGGTTGGGTAGACCGTAGATCTCGTAAGTATGGTCTGTAAGTGGCCCCTGCGCGGGCCCCTTGCCTCGAGGTCGAATTGGACTTCCAATCCGACACTGACTATCTCTCTCTTTCATCGCCCAACTACGGCGGTTGGAAGTGTAATTCGATCTCGGGCTCCTTCGCCGAGGCTGCCCCCTTTTCCTCCTTCTTCTGCTCCTTGCGGGTTACCCATCCCTCCATCCGTATCGTCGCCCTTCCTTCGCCGACGAAGTGCTCGAGCCCCTTGTTGGGCGTTGCCTTCGTGAAAGCATCCGCCAGATTATCGTCCCCGTTGATCCAACGGATCTCGAGGATCTCGCGGCGCTCATACGATTGCCGGAGGGCCATGATGTCTATCATCAGCCTCTTCTCCTTCGTGGTGCCCAGTTTGACGAGGCACTCATACAGCGAGTACGAATCGGTACAGACGATTGTCGGTATCGTGGGGATGTCAAGTCGATCGGTAATCCTCTTCAGCGTCGTTGAGATCGCGTGTGCGATGTCGACGCCGTTAACCATGCCGTAGACCTCTGAGGCGAGTACACTTCGTGTGACCCTTTTGCTCTTCGTCGACGAGTAGTGGATGACATTACCGCGGATCGTGAAGTTCTCCTCTCCCATTGCCTCGTTGGCAAGGATTATCACATATCCCAATTGCGATGTGAGGTCGTCATTATTCGCGAATGAGCCGTCGACGAACACGTAGAGCTTCGCCTCCCTCAGGTCGATGGGTTGGTACACGAGCCCCCTATCGAGGTTCACTTGCTGCCACTGTAGCCGTCGGTTGAGGGCGTCGAAGTCGCGTTCCGTCGGCGAAGTGGCCTGCGCTGCCCTCGCGCAGTCGAAAGTGGCCTCTGGCTGACAGATGCTTGCGATGTAAGCTCCTCGTGCGAGCTCTGCTTTGTACCGCTTCTGGCAGTCGGTTGCCCTTGGGTCGATGAGGGTGATCTTCTCGCCTTGCCCCTTCTGTCGGAAGACGACATTCTCGCCCTCGATCGTGAGGATCCCGCCGTTGAACGCAAGTGGTGTGTCCTCTGTGAGGATCTCTTTTGGCTTGGCGGTAAACTTTGCCTTCTCCAGCTCCTTGTCCTCCTTCTCCATGAAGGCCGCATCAGAAAGCCCTAATGTGTCGTCGGTCTGCATTCCGACGATTCCAAATGGATCGTCTGCATGCGCGGAAACTAGGAGGCAAGGATCGTACGTCGATGTAATCATCGAGAGCTTGTCGATGTGGAAATCGTGGTATGTTGCCCACCAGTGAGTGCCTGACTCTGCGAGGCCGTAGAGTGGCTTCAGCACTTCGATAATCGTGTCGTCCGGGTATTTGCTTGCCATCTCCCTTGGTAGGTAAGCCAATATCTTCCTCGTGAGCCTTGTCGCCGATTGGGTGTATGCCTGGGTGATATCACGACTCCAGATCCGGTATCCTCTTTGCCGTAGTGATGCCATCAATGCCATCATTAGTCGTTGGCTGCAGCGCTGAACTGTCGGCGACTGCGTGAGCAGTGCCGCCTTCTCGACGTCGCCGTAGCCTTGTATCACATGCCTTGATTTCTCGTACGGCTGATTTGTCCCCTTTCCTTTGATCTCGCGGACCATTCGCGACTTGAAGATGCGGAGGTTCGCGTGCTTCTCTGGGTCGTAGGTGATGAATCTGTAGACCCCTCGATCGCGCAGTGTGTCGGCTTCGATGAGGTCGGAGCCTTCGTACGGTCGTCCTGCAGTTGTGATTATCCCTTGTTCCCTTAGCTTGACCGCCATCGCGAAGTCTGCTTTCTCCTTGGCCGTGTAGAAGACAGCAGTAGCCTTGGTGTCAGACATGAATTGCCGTTGAGGTGCTTTTCGGGGTCTTCCTCGGCGTCTTGCTTGCGGTGGGGGTACTGGTTCTTCTTCTGCCTCATCGTCTGAGGGTGCTGCGACGATGATCTCGTCGAGGATGGTTTCCTGCCCCTCATCGCTTGGTTGTCCCTCATCGCTTTGTTGAGGTGGTTCCCCTGGCTCTTCTTCTTCTTGTGGGTTGGAAATCACTCCGCTGGGGTCGACGTGGTACGGTCGTACCGCAGTGATCGACACCTCCAGTGGTTGGTCTCGATCTCTCGCGACGACACAAGATCGTTCGTCAATTGAGACTAACTTGTATGGGCCTGTCCATTGCTTTGTGGTTTCCCTCCATACCCGTACCTCCGAATTCAGGGGCATGTCGAGGTTGAGGCTCACGTCGGGCCCATTGCGCGTAGCAATGGCTTCGTTGACTTGCCTTCTAGCATTTGCCTCGCGGAGAGTCTTCATTGCTTTCTCGATTGCTCGCGCCCTCTGGGTCACATCTGGTGACGGCGGTGAGGCCGTCGTCGTTCGTGGGTATGCTCCGAACACAAGCAGCGTCGGAACGAGCCCCTTGGGTCCCATGGTATCATTGCAGCACTTGAGTGCCGTCTGGAGGCACTCTTCGTCCGTTGAACTAGGGCTCTCTTCCTGGATGATCTTGAAAGCTCTTTTCAACTGCTGGTGTGATCTTTCTACCTTGCCAATACTGTGGTGCGCTTCGACAGGGACGACTTTCAGTTGGATGCCGTACGAAGTGGCATTCTCCCTGAATTCCGCCGACTTGAAGCTGGTGCCGGCATCGGTTCTGATGCCGTCTGGTGGACCTTGGTATGTATCGATCCACACAAGCGCTTCAGCGTTTGGCCCCACC